ATATTTTTTTCCATGTAGCAAAAGTATATTTGACCATATTTACATGAATAATAATTTAACATTTTTCTTAAAAAAAAAATACCAGGAATAAGAATTATATCACAGTCAAAGCAAGTCACATGCTCAAAAATAAAACACACAACACTCAGATCGCAGCGAGACGAAACACGCCCGCCACGGTCGGACGATCTCTCGAGACTGAAAACAATCACTTTGTCATTATCATTTCCTAATAACTATGTTAACTATGTTAATAAATATCGTATTAATAGCGTATTTCGTTTCCATGTAATCTCCTCAAATATTAATAATATTAAACTAGCAGCAAAGGCATGAAATTAAGAATGGTTACGGTAGGAAATATAAGTAATGTTGGCAATGTCTCGATCACAAGCGTACGATTAGCTCAGCGTACGATTAGCACAGCGTATTAGGCTACCGTTCTAGTGATCGTAGGTTCAAATCTTACCGACAATGCGATGCGTTTTTTATTAATTAATTGCAATTAATAAGATAGGTATGCAAAACAATAAATAATGAATTGAAATGGAAAAATAAAAAGTAATAATAATAAAAATTATTTTTTTCGTTAAGATATAATTATATACATTTTATTACATAAAAGGGATTGTTTGGTCACAATTTCCAAATTATTTCGTTTAAAAGAATTAACAATTTGGTTTGTCACAATTTTATTTGTCATATGATTTCGTAATAATCATCTAATTTTGCTACCAATTTCCAAATCTTGGTAGTAATAGATTCTACTTGTACTTTCTACTTTTTACTTTTAATTATATTTTTAATTGTGTTTGTTGTTACAACATTTTATAGTATAATTTACTATATGCAAATACAATTTATGTATAAGATAACTATACAATGTGATTGAATGAATAGATATTATGGTCGTTATGATCATAATTTAATGTTTTATGATCATAATTAAATTTAGGTTACTATAATTTATATGATCAAAACAATTATAAATTTATGGTTGTCTCAAAAAGTGACTATATAATATAAATTATAATTATATTATGGTTATTCCAACCATTTTTTTTCTCAATGCACATAGACTTTGTGGAGCATATATTACTTCAATGTCATAAAATGTAATTATGATATCTATATTAAAGTAAAATCGCACACAGAAGCGAAATTGAAATAACTCTTGATGTGAAAATAATAATTTTCAATGATAATTTGGATATGTTGCTGAATAACGTGAAATGGTGAGCGCTAATTAGCGCTAATTAGTGAGACTTGGCGACATTACTGAAAATTTGTGGTGAGAATCACTATTTAAAAAAAAAGACTTATGATACATAAGTCTTATTACATCAGTCGCTCTGTGAACCACTCCTACTATATAGAGATTGCTTTTATTAGAGTATACACCCTTGAAAACGTCTCATGAACTCTTACGTTCCAATTCAACAGAATGAAGCATGCGAGTAAATTTATTCAATTTTTATAAAATTTTGATTATACATTTTATACGTTATGTATTTTTCTAAAATCTATTTATGGTACATGTTTTCTATTTTTTATATCGCATCTTCTCATACGTTTTCCCATACATTTTCAAAATCTCGTTACATACCTCATATCTGGAAAAAATGAAATGCATTGATATTGACAGCATATAAATTCTTGGACATCAGAATCGTCGTGAGACATCTCATGTAAATTGCAATCAGCGACAATCAAGGCAATCGCATAATGCCTCATACTACGTGGCGTCATTGATAGTGCATTATATTGAACGATTAATGCTGTCCCATCATCATCACCACCGATTCAAGATTTGAATGTAGAATTTATTAAACTATGTGGTACGGAAAAAATAACATTGTCCTTGTATGATACATGTACATGAAACTAACAACCGCACTCTTCTTATTTGAGCTCGAGCAATGTGTCATGCATGCTATAAACTAAGTCAATATGCGCATGGTGTTAGTAAACAATTCAAATATTTTGTATTATTTTTAAAACAAAGTTGTATTACTAATAAACGCGATGCTGCGAATACTTTGCACAAAATTTATGATAAAAATGCTATTATAGAATGTGTGCTAGTAGTCTATGGTTTAAATTATATTGTATATGCTGCATTAAATATTAGATAAATAAATCTATATTAAAAAATATATTTCTTTGAAAATTTATCTTTTCCCTAATCTCTTCATCATTCTTTCTTCATATATCTTCATGATATTAAATTACTTAATAAGAAAGCGCGTTCGGTTTGGAAAGAGAAAGAGAGAGAGAGAGAGAGAGAGAGAGAGAGATCGACTTATACTATTAAAATATTATTAAAATTGTACTTGTATCATCCTATTGTAAAATCATAAAAGCCCATAAAATAAATATACCATATCTTTTTAATAAAATTGCGTGCGAGAGAATATATATCAATAATTTGTGTGTGACTATACGCCAAAATTGTATTAGCAATAAATGTGATGCATTAAAAGATTGCGTGAAGATTTATGAAACTTCAATCATGGAGTGTGAATTAGTAATGTGCGCTTCAGATGAAATTGTATACATTGCGTTACATTTAAAGTAAGAAATAAATAAATGTTTTATAAAAAAATGTATATGATACTTAAATATATTACTGAATTATTTTAAAAAACTTTCTCCTTTTTCTCTGCTTCTATTCAGCGGTTTAGAATTATATGATAAGAAAGCGCGCAATTTTTTTCTCGAATAAGTTAATCAAGTTATAAAAATAAAAATTGTACAATAAGAAATTATAATTCTAATTTCTATTTCTTTCTAGGTTTCCTCCACAATCCTAAAATATTTTTTTCGCTCCCTTCTATGACATCATCTACTTGTTACGTAACTTTGAAACCTGTACATTCCTGTTTCTTTTTGCCACGAGTGAAAAAGAATCTTCTTTCTCTATTATTTAGAATTAATTAATAATATGATAGCTGTTCAATAGTACGACATAAGTACAATAAGTCTTCAATACCTATTCAAATAATAATTTATAATGATTTGATAATTAAGCTCAGCTATTTATATTACTAAAAATATTATTATATTATATTAATTAGTTGCTAAATTAAAATCATTACTAAATCATATCATTAAAAAATCCTAAAACAAATACCATATTTATTTAAAATTGTGAGCAAGGAGAAAAGAGAACACAGGAGAGAATATAACGGGAAGAAGAGAGAGTGAATATTATGATAAGTATAGAACCACAATGAGTAGGAGAGAGAGAGCACGAATACTATGACAATGAGTTTAAGACTACAGCGAGTGGGACATGTATCATTATGCGCAGTATTTGACAACGTCACAATGTATCTCGATCTTTAAATTTTATATCATTGTGCATACTACTTGGCAACGGCGCAATGTATCAAAATTATATTCATGATGTCATCGCGAAACATATCATATTAATTTGTCGAATGTCTTTAAAAAAATCTTTTATTACACTAACACAGCTGTCGTATCGGTGCTTGCATTTTTGATCTCTCATGTTTGAACTATTCCATATGTATTCCTGAAGAAATGTGATAGAGGGGACGAAACTTAGAAAAAGCTCAGGCAATGTTACTGCATCAGTCGCCTACAGTTGGGCTAGAACCCGTTATACTATATCGTTTATATATTCGGGAATAATTACAATTTTTTTATATTTCACAAAAATCTTAAATATCTCGATGAAAAAAAATCATAGAAAAGTTTTTAAAAATGCGTTTTAAAGAGGAAGAATATACAACTTTAAATTTTAGAAAAAGTAAGATTTCAAATAATAAAATTATACACAATAAAAAAGTCAATTTGTGAAAAATCTTTGCAGCAATTTTTTTCTGAAAGCATTTTAAAGCTTAGGTAATCTATTTGAAATATATTGTTTATTAAATATATTGTTTATTAAATTTTGTTTGATTTCACCCACATTGAGCGCTTCAAAGATCAACAAAAATATTGAAAAAAAATATTTTTTTAAAATTTCAATTTTATGTAATTTCGAAAATATCATAGAGTCAAAATCCAAATTCCAGTTTAAAACTTTATTTTTCCTCTTAAAATGCATCTTTAAAATCTTCGCTACGATTTTTCTTCACCGATATACTTTCCGTGAAAATTTCCGTGAAATGTGAGAAAATCGCAGGCGTTTCCGAATTTATAAATAGTAATGTATTCCAAGTAACAGATGAAGTTTTAATAGAGGTTATGATTAAACCTATTTTGCTATCTTAACTCCTATTGTAAATCAATTTATTTTAACACTAAAAGCAATAAAAAGAAAAATTTGCGACACCATTATAATCAAAGTAGCAATAAACTATGTCATTATATTGTAATTGATCTTATCTTGATATTTTAGCTCCTATTATATAATAGAATTAAAGTTTAACCAAGAGTCAAAATTTTGACTTGGGCAGATATAGAATGCGGAATGCGGAATTCGCTGAATGCCATATCAGCATTCTATACACGGATTTCATATTCTACATGCGAATTCCGCACGCTACATTTGCATTTTTTTTCCTCGTTTTTCGAAAATAGTGCCACGAAATAATGTTTATTGATAGCTTCTTGTTGTGAATTATGATATACACAGTATGGCACTATTTTCCCCTTTGAGGGGAAGTTAAAATATCAAAAATTTTATCGGTATATTTTAAATTTTCGGAATTTTAAACTGCATTCTTTTTTGAGAACAGTTGTTGCAGTAGATATCATCAACTTTTGTGTTTTAATTTTTAAGAAGCATTTAATGCGATTTTTATTAATATTCATTGAAAGTTGAGTATTTCCTAATCAAAAAAAGCAGTTTGGGAAAAAGAAAATATACATTGAATTAGTTTTGAACTAGTTTTCTTATTCAATTCAAAACTAGTTCAACGTATATTTCCTCTTTGTCCAAAATGCTCTTCTTGATTGCTAGGAACACTTAACTTTCAATATATTAATCAAAATTATATTAAATGCATTATGTATTGAGGGTCACTCACCAAGGTCTTTGTCAGGACCAGTTAACACCCAGAAATCAGATGAAGCGAGGATACCATTTTGAAAGAATATAATCCCTCTTTTCTGTCGACCTTTATACAAAGGACTTGCTGATATTCTATGAATCGTCAAAATATAACCATCTTCTGTTGTGACGTAATGCTCCTCAGCAGAGTAACCATATCTCTCTACTAAACCAATCTTTGTAGTAAACATACAAAGCATTAAAAAAAAATTCGTTTTTTAATAATTTCATTATTATGTTATAGTATTTTATATATTTTTATTTAATATACTTTTTTACACAATCCTGGTGGAAAAAATTCATTGAAATTAATCCACGTTTGCAACACTTTTCAACATTTTAGCATTTCAGAAAAATTTCAGTCTAATTTTAGCGATTTTTAGCTAAAAAATTCATTTTTAGGAAAATTTCAGAAAAATTTTAACAAAAATTTCAAAGAAATTTCAAAATAATTTCGATTCAGTTTCAGTTTCGATTTTTTAGTATGTTAACTGAAAAATTAACTTTCAGTGAAATTTCAACAAATTTTCAGCAATTTTGTTAAAATGTTCCAAAGTGTGGAATAATATCAGCAAAATTTTTTCATCAGGCAAAATAATAAATTATTGTTTTATTTGTAAAAGAAAATTCTATTCAAAATTTTATATAGTTGATCTGCACTGTCGAAACAAAAGTTGTTTTCATCTGCCATAAAAATTAATTTTTCGATATACATTAATATAACTTTCTTATTTAATTCAAATTTCTTATTTTTTCAAATGTGCCTTTATAATAAAATAAGATATTAAAAGAGAATCATGCTTACAAAATCCATTGTAGTTACATTGTTCACTGCAGTTTTAATTTCTGGCTTTCTTACTCTTACTATACCGGGATCCTTAGGAAATAGATAATTGATTATTGCTTTTTGAGGGATTAAATCTTTCCAGAAATTTAGTCTTGCTTGCACTAACATTACAGTAAACATAAGTATGAAAAAAAACAAATTTCATTCCCATTCTCATTATATTGTCCACTGAAGATTCAAAGTATTAGATCTTGTAAATGTAAACAATATTGATATAAGTTTTATAACAACTACCTTTTTTTGCAAGAAACCTATAAACGTAATTGGTATTAATTAATTCATTAATCATTTGGTGAATCTTTCTTACAATACATGTCAAAGAAATTCATTAAATGTTAATTTTTAATTTTTGGTATTAAATAATTACCAATATTATAATTTAAAATTAATGAAATTAATAAAATTTATTTAAATTTAAATTAAATTATAAATTCAATAAAATTGAATATAAGAGCTAAATGATCCAAGCACATTACATGGTGCAATAAAATATATTGTTACAAACACAAATTCTTCCATACGTTTCGGATCATTTTCAGTGGATATATAACTTACGTCAATACTATTTTTATCTTCTTCTATTATACATCGTTAGATATTATATAAAACCTATCGCAACAATTAACATTAGCACACTTCAGCGAGAAATTTTCACAGATTAAAAGACTATTATTCTGCCATTATGGTATTGATTGTTCTTTTTTTTAAATATCGCAAATTAAAATCAGATTCGGAATCGTAATTTCCATAAAATCAGGATAAATTATTATGCCGCAATGGTGGTATTGACTGTAAAATTATTAAAATTAGAAAACAAAAAAAAGGAATTAACATAATGTAAAGATTAAAAATTATTGTTTTTACCTTAGAACATTCAAGACTCGACGGACTGAACAGGAAGACAGCTTACATGTTAATAGATTGCTCGATATAACAAACGTAATGACATGAGAGGAACGGGAAAAACATGACAATGCTTCGCAACAAATACGTAGAAGGAGTTGAACTAATCAGAACGAGAAACCAATAATGTCACTTATTGGCTAATAAATCTATAAAAGGCAAATATGCTTCTGAAAGAAATTCTGTATCATTTTGCTTGTTTAATCCATTTTATTTGTTTAATTGTATGGATCATCATCAGAAATTAGCCTTTTATTATATTAAATTAGCTTATATATTAAATTAGTTTTTTGTTATCCAATATCTGAATTCCTTTCAAAATCATGATTATTATTCATCCTGTGTATAAAAATTATTGACGGTGAGCCGCATTTCTTTCTTATGTCAGAACTGTGCTCATTGACACATGTTTTTAGCTTTCTTTTAGTTTTGGCCCACGTATGTGCGTCACAATCCTAATGAGAGCTTATACTATATCGCTATGAGCCATAATTTCTACTGAGGTCTTTCCCAGTTTTGAAAAAAATTTTTAATGTGTTTGGAATCGAAAAACTGGTTTTAATATTTTATATTTTTTTGTATAAATGACAAATTCTCTGAAATATTCTTTATAAAAGAAATTGTTTTTCTTTGTATAATATTTCGATTGTTCGATTTGTTTTTTATTCATTTCTTTTTATTAGAAAACAGATATTTAAGCCTATTCCTAATTATCGAGAAAATGAAAGTTAATGGATAACAATTCTCAATCAAAAGACTAATTGCCTCCATAAGATTTTTCTTGTAGAAGGATAGATCTGAAAGAAAGATTTATTCATGCCAAATAACTCCTCTTTTATGTGATACGGGAGGAGGAGGGGATGGTGAGAGCAAAAATTCAAATATTAATTTTTTTTTATATAAATCAAAAGACAGTTTATTATCAATTAAAATAGCAGTAACATCAAATTTAAATTATTGCTCTCACCTACCTTCATGTGAACCATAATCTTCTCTATAACGAATTAAAAACTCTTAAAATATCATCAAGTGAGTCTGCAGGCGTGACCAAGAAAATGTCATCAATATCACAGATAAAATGGTAGTTTTATTGGAATTGGATTCAGTACTCTCAATTCCAAATTTTGCAACGCAAAGTTCGCAATAATTGGAGATAGTGGAGAGCCCATAGACGTACTATAAATCTGTTTGTAAAAGATACCATCAAATTTGAAAGTTAATAAGTCTAATCCAATACTAGGGTTTAGTTCCACCACAACCTGAACCAAGAGCCTATAGACTGATGAAAATCCATAAATATGGATATCCATTACGCATAATAGTCTCCATCAATAGTCCATGTATTATTTGACGTTTTTTCTACACAATGTGATAAAAAAGAGCATTTCAAAAACAGCTAGCTATGTCGCGAACAGTTTCTAGTTAGTAGAGCAAACTGAATGGTTTCTGTTTGAATCCTGATTTTAAATGTATCTTTGGATTTGTCACTTTTTTCAAAAAGTGTCTACTGACCTAGCCGTTGACTGTAAGAGTTTTTAATTCGTTACACGGAAGATACGGTTCATAATGGAGATAGATGAGAGTAATAGTTTAAATTTCCTTGATGTTACTGTCTTTTGATTTATTGTATATAAAAAAAATCTATGTTTTTCGACAGATATTTGAATTTTTGCTCTCACTATTCTGTATCATATAAAAGAGGAATTATTTATGGCATGGTGAATAAATCTTCCTTTCAGATCCATCCTTCTACAAGAAAAATCTTATGGAGGCAATTAGTCTTTTGATTGAGAATTGTTATCTACTTTCAACTTTCATTTTCTCGAATAAGAATAGGCTTGATAATTAGAAATATCTTTTTCTAATAAAAAGAAACGAGTAAAATCAAATCGAACAATGGAAATATTTCAAAAAATATATCAAAGAAAAACGCTTTATTTTATAAAGAACATTTTAGAAAATTTGTCATTTATTACAAAAAAATATAAAATATTAAAATTTTTTCAATTCCAAACGGTTTTTCAATTCTAAACACATTAAAAAATTTTTTCAAAACTGGAAAAGAAGTACTCAGTAGAAGTTATAGCTCATAGCAGTATGGTGTATAAGATCTTATATCAGGATTGTGACGCTGCATACGTGGGCCAAACTAAAAGACAGCTAAAAACAGCTGTATCGATGAGTACAGTTCTGACATAAGAAAGAAATGCGGCTCACCGTCAGGGATGTCTATACACAGGATGAATAATAATAATAATTTTGACTGGAAAGGAGTTCAGATATTGGATAACGAAAAGTTAATTTAATATAAGTGTAATAAAAGGCTAATTTCTGAGATGATCCATATAATTAAACAAATAAAACGGATTAAACAAGCAAAATAATACAGAATTTCTTTCAGAAGCATATTTATCTTTTATAGATTTATTAGCCAATAAGTGACATTATTTGTTTCTCGTTCTGATTGGTTCAACGTATTTGTTGCGAAACGTTGTCATGTTTTTCCCGTTTCTCTCATGTCATTACATTTGTATCGAGCAATGTGTTGACATGTAGGCTGTCTTCCTGTTTAGTCCATCGATTCTCGAATGTTCTAAGGTAAAAACAATAAGTTTTTAATCTTTACTTTGTATTAATTCTTTCCTTTTTGTTTCCTAATCTTACAACCAATATTAATATCATCATTATGGCATTAATAATTTATCCTAATTTTATGGAAATTACGAATCCGAATGCGGTCTGACGATTTTTATGACATGTTTAAAAAAAGGACAACCAATATTATCAATACCATAATGGCAAAACAATCTTTTGAGCTGTGAAGATTTCTCGCTAATGCGTGCTGATGTTAATTGTTGTGACAGGTTTTATATATCTAACGACGTGTAATAAACGTAAGAAGATAAGTGAAGAAGTGTTAATTAGATTATTGTATATTTTTCAAAATTGCTAATGCTGGGCATAACAAATTCCTGTAGTATAATATACATATATATTAATTATACACTTTTCTAAAGTCCCATTAAAATTGAGATTGACTGATGACTAAAGTTGGCAATTACAATCTGAACTGAAATGGTTTTATCGAAATACTTAAAAAAGACATATTGCATATCGATCTAATGTCCATTTACAATTGAATCAATAAAGTTAATTTTCAGACTCCCAGATAACATAACTAATCCATTTGAACTCGAAAAAATTCATTTTCTTAACTTCTTTATGAATTTGCGTAATTTGTTCAAAATGAAAAAAAGAATTCCTTTTCGACGATTAAAAAAATATTCTTTACAGAGTTAAATCGAAGTTAACTTAAAGAAATTCTTTTTCTATTCGTAATGGGTTCGAAAAAAAATTCATTTTTGGCTCGATCACAATATACTTGTATAAAATTGTTCCCGCTGCAAGTTATGATCTGCCGCCATTGGAACATGCTTGAATGATTGCTGCGAGTAGGTAATAGAAATTAGTTTTTGCATTTTGTATACATATAAAAAATATACATACAAAATATATATATTAAATATA